CATTGGGCCGTGTTTCCTGCGTGGAGTGAACGGGCACAGGTTTCGCTATTGAACCGCTCGCAAAAGGTGTTGTGCGTGGTCTCCGTGCATTTCGTGACTGCCCAGCTGTCCGCTTCGCGCTCTGCGAACGTGTCTTCGTCGAGCCGTAGGATTTCCTGATAATGCGATACCGGGTAGACGGAGATTTTCTTACATCTGAACCTAACTCTGGGATAAGCTATTAAGACATGAATTATTTCATCGGATCGAAGCACCCTATTTTTTGCGGCTTCTACTAAACTAACTACTGGAATATCTTGTTCAGTAATTGGTGTCAAATCGGCATGGTCCAGAATTGTATGATTTACTATGCTGGCTTTCGCCAAAATTACAATGAGGATAACATTTTGAATCTCTGTTGTCAGCATTCTATTTCGTGCTAGAAGTGTCTCATACAGATGTGGATGTCAGCCCAATCGATCTTGCGGTCTCTGATAATTTTATTTATAGTGTCAGTTAGTGTATTTATTTCTTTCTGAGTTAATTGTGATTTGCCTTGGATTCGATTCTACCAACTGAGCTTCTGTCATACTCATTTTCAAAAAGTCTGAGGCGTTGGGAGTGCCCGCGACCACTTTAAGTGCTGTTGGATGTAGTTGGCGTGGGAAAAGTCGGTGCATCCGAGCATTTGCCATTGCTAAGGTGATGAGTGTCATCAAGGTTAACTTGTAATCCAAATGTAGAGTGAGGCGACTTAATTTCACGTTTCTCTGGCTTACTATATAATTATGATTGGGGAAACCTATTTGAGGTTGTCCTTATGGACCACCCTCCCCTTTATAAGAACAGACGTTCCTAGCACGTCTTGTTCCTTGCATAGTGGGGTTAACTTATTCCCTAAACGTTTATTGTTCTTGACAAATATAATACTTTTTCTCCTACCTTGAAAACACCATTTCGTCTAGCGGAGTTACATCGTTCGATGTTATTTTGTTGGGCCTTTATTAACTTTTCCTTAATGTCCAGGCAGCGTTCGTCGGTCCCCAGGTAAAGTTATTTCTTAGTAGACAGGTGATGGTCTCAGAATTGAAGGCGGCTTCATTGTCGCAATATATTGTTCTGATTTTTGGGAACAAGTTGACTAGTTGAAGCAAAGGCCCTATAATATCCACTATTGTTCTGGATTGCACTGGCAATACCACTGCGAATTTAGAGAACTTGTCGATACTTTCTTACTTGGCCTTGGTACAGACCCTGCAATTTAAAACCACATTTTTCGTAAAGCTGCTCATTTTCGGGAAGTAATAGTCACGGAGGATTTGCTTGATGTTTTCCTGAGCTGCCCTGTACGCCCTATTGTGTTCTGCAGTGATAATTTCCAATTGCTCGATTTTTAGTTACGTCTATGACAACATTTTTGCAATAGCGAAATTGTGTAGCCGGGAATTAAGCAATTAAATCATTTTGAAAGCTTGCCAGAGTGGACAAGTCGCAGTGTATCGGGTGTACTTCTTCAGGGTTCACGACCTCTTTAAGCTTTTTTGGAATATGGCCCTTGTCGGGGAAACTAATCAAGTGGCGGGTTTTGCTACAAAACAACACTAAGCTTCGTTTACGCTGAAAACGTGCTTCTTCTAGAACAATTTGATTTCTGAAGCAGTTCACTGGTTGCTCTGTCGTTTTGACCGTGTAGGTCAGTGATAGTTCACTGTGAATAGTCGCAGCGTCAGACTGAGGCTCACTTTGTAAGGCAATAATATTCTGCCTCGAAAGAGCGTCGGCCACATGATTTTCTTTACCCGGTTTGTAGTGAATTTTTGCGTTATGACCGTCGATATACGCTTTCCATCTTTTTATCTTCGAATTCGGATTCCAATCAGACACCGTATATGCCAAAGGTTGGTGGTCTGTATAAATGTTGATATCGCGAGTGCCATACAGCTAGTTCTGTAATTTGCCTAACGCCCACACTATGGCCAACAATTACCTTTCGTTCGTGGCATAGTGTGACTCGCTCTCTTTCAGGGTCCTAGAAATCATTGTGATAGGTGTTTTTTCTTGCGATAGGATCACGCCGATACCGTTCGCGGAAGCATCCGTTAATAGGTCGAATGTTTTCCTAAAATCATGGTATCTGAGGATAAAATCTTCGGAAGCCAAGACATTTCTCAGATTTCTCCTCTCGAATGCATCCCTCTGCATGCTACCGAAGTCAAAAGGAGTTTTCCTAGACATGTGTTTGCTGATAGAGCCATTTTCTTCTTTCTGCAGGTCTGTCAAAGGCCTCGCGATTGCCGCGAAGTCTTTAACGAAACATCGGCTACGCCTAAAAATGGCCTAAACTCATACAGATTTGTAGGGTCTGGGTATTCATTAATCGCTTTTACTTTTCCTGGGTCGGTTTTTACATCACCATTGGTTACAATAAATCCAAGATATCCCACACTTTGCTTAAAAAAATGAGTCTTTCATTGGACACCTTCATGTTGGCATCACATAGACTTTTTAAAACCCAATGGTCTAACATAGTCTTCTTCATTTTCAGAACAAATAATGACGTCATCTACCTAAATATAGCAGATTAGATTTGCCAATTTGTTCTCGTATGACATCTTCGATCGCTTTTTGGAAGATGCTGTCAGCATTCATCAAACAGAACGGTAGTCGACAAAACTCATACTTTCCGCCGTTCACCGAGAAGGCGGGTTGAAAAATTTAATATTTTCTTACTTTTTATATATCTTGTGAACATCTATAGATTTGCTAAACAATTTTTTGCCACGCCCATTCTAGCACCCACAAACACAAAACACTCACGCCCACACTTTAAAAAAACTTTTTTTTTTCATTTTTATTTTTTTTTTTTTTCCAATTTTTACCTCAATTCCTGAAAATGTAAAAATTTCTCTTACACACTTTCACTAGCTGTGAATTGGGTATCGGGGAACTCCACTATAGCACTGTCTCTTGTTTCTTTTTTTTTTTTTTTTTGTCTGGCGTCTTTCTGCCGAACTTGTTATTTTACTTGATATTTTTCTGGGTGTCTAGATGTCTCATCAGTATGTGCAGTATGTCTCTTTCAGCACTCGTTTTTCTTCTTTTCTTTTCATTTCGAAGACTTTCCATTTTCTTTACCTTCAACCTTTAAATATTGGTCGAACTTTTTTAACGTGCTCTCTTGGTATACTTGAACCATATTGACTAGATAGTTATTTAAGTTAAAGGTTAAGTGTCCCTTTAACAGCGCCGACATCACATGTGCATCGCAGCTAGATTATGGAAACCTCTAGTAGCGTCAATATCACATAATATATGTACATACGTATATATTATATATGGTTGGTTAATAACTATGAAGCCTCCATGGTGCAATATATCTTTCAGGGTCCTAGAAATCATTGTGATAGGTGTTTTTTCTTGCGATAGGATCACGCCGATACCGTTCGCGGAAGCATCCGTTAATAGGTCGAATGTTTTCCTAAAATCATGGTATCTGAGGATAAAATCTTCGGAAGCCAAGACATTTCTCAGATTTCTCCTCTCGAATGCATCCCTCTGCATGCTACCGAAGTCAAAAGGAGTTTTCCTAGACATGTGTTTGCTGATAGAGCCATTTTCTTCTTTCTGCAGGTCTGTCAAAGGCCTCGCGATTGCCGCGAAGTCTTTAACGAAACATCGGCTACGCCTAAAAATGGCCTAAACTCATACAGATTTGTAGGGTCTGGGTATTCATTAATCGCTTTTACTTTTCCTGGGTCGGTTTTTACATCACCATTGGTTACAATAAATCCAAGATATCCCACACTTTGCTTAAAAAAATGAGTCTTTCATTGGACACCTTCATGTTGGCATCACATAGACTTTTTAAAACCCAATGGTCTAACATAGTCTTCTTCATTTTCAGAACAAATAATGACGTCATCTACCTAAATATAGCAGATTAGATTTGCCAATTTGTTCTCGTATGACATCTTCGATCGCTTTTTGGAAGATGCTGTCAGCATTCATCAAACAGAACGGTAGTCGACAAAACTCATACTTTCCGCCGTTCACCGAGAAGGCGGGTTGAAAAATTTAATATTTTCTTACTTTTTATATATCTTGTGAACATCTATAGATTTGCTAAACAATTTTTTGCCACGCCCATTCTAGCACCCACAAACACAAAACACTCACGCCCACACTTTAAAAAAACTTTTTTTTTTCATTTTTATTTTTTTTTTTTTTCCAATTTTTACCTCAATTCCTGAAAATGTAAAAATTTCTCTTACACACTTTCACTAGCTGTGAATTGGGTATCGGGGAACTCCACTATAGCACTGTCTCTTGTTTCTTTTTTTTTTTTTTTTTGTCTGGCGTCTTTCTGCCGAACTTGTTATTTTACTTGATATTTTTCTGGGTGTCTAGATGTCTCATCAGTATGTGCAGTATGTCTCTTTCAGCACTCGTTTTTCTTCTTTTCTTTTCATTTCGAAGACTTTCCATTTTCTTTACCTTCAACCTTTAAATATTGGTCGAACTTTTTTAACGTGCTCTCTTGGTATACTTGAACCATATTGACTAGATAGTTATTTAAGTTAAAGGTTAAGTGTCCCTTTAACAGCGCCGACATCACATGTGCATCGCAGCTAGATTATGGAAACCTCTAGTAGCGTCAATATCACATAATATATGTACATACGTATATATTATATATGGTTGGTTAATAACTATGAAGCCTCCATGGTGCAATATAAGCAATTTTAATAGATTTTCTTACGATGGATTTTCAGTAATAGAACTATGCGTCCATAAACAAAGACTGCAAATTGTGACAGCCGTCTAACAAGCTTACATACATTTACCTATCTTTATCTATACATAACCACCCACTTGTGCATACATATATAGTTAGGTCCCACAGTTATTGTATCGTACTCCTCGGGAAATAAAACACGAAATATATTGTTAACTCAACACTACGCCCATATCTCTCTTGCTCGTTGGATCGGCAGAAGTTTCACAGTTTTAGGACTACTTACAATTAACGTAAACGTTAAAACGCTTGCTAACTGAAGGAGGTATTCCATTAGATGCGATGCAATTATATCCTCCCATATCGGAACGATGTAAATTTGTTAAGACCAGCCTTTCTCCTTCAACCGTCTTTACACCTGCAAATTTTAAATTAAATTTATTTATAAAAATCAATTACGTAGTTTTTAAAGACAATTCATAAAAATATTATTTAGGTGTTTTATATTAACAATATTAAATGTGAACTTCAAACTTTGTGACAAAACTTTAGAGCTATTACGCTACACTCCACCTTATGGTCTTACATATGGTATGGCAGAACCTATTCAACTCAATAATAAATATATTCCCTAGCAATATAGAGATTTTAAGTAAACAAAACCAAAAATATATTTAAGGAAAAAAATAGAATACTATTATCGATTTGCTCTATAATTAAATACCAGTTACTCAGCATTCTTAAAAGTGTGGTCGCGACAATTTTGGGCGGTTTGTAGGCGTTAGAAAGGGCGTAGCCAAATTTAAATTGGCAAGACAAGGTTAGTGGGCGTAAAAACCAATTTGTTTGAGTAATCGACAGAAATTTAAAAATGTACAATTGGAATCTGCATGCTTGAGCTCATCTTTCTTTCTAGCTTTCTAGTTCCTGAGATTAAAGCGTTCATTTGGACAGACGGACGGAGAGACTGGCACGGCTAAATCGACTTTCGCTGGCGATTATGATCTAAAAGATATATACTTTATATCTAGACTGAAGCACGTATTTAGACTATATGCCACTCTTCCCGATTGGAACATTTTAAGAAAATTACAGGCGTCGCATATTTCAAGTTCTATACTTCGTCTCCCTGCTCCTGATGTTCTCATCTTTGTAGTTTCAGACAAATAGTCACTATGGCTTAAAGTTCTCAACTGTTATTTTGCCATTCTTGCGCCCAGCGTCAAATATCTGTCAAATTTTAAAACCTATCCACCAGATACCATTTCTGTATTTTTTCTGCGGCAGGGGATCAACGAACTAGGCACACATCTTGGCCCTTCGGGTAAGCAATTTGGATACAGCAGTCACATACAGCTCCGATGTACAACAACATATTCCTATTCTCTGTGTGTCGATAGAGATAACCCGGTACATGATATCCCGCAAATTTCTCATTCCGTTGGCATGGTCCTATAGCCTTCTGGCTGCGGTTACTGCATTGAATGTCCCGAAGTCTACTGTTGCAACTTCAGTCCCGATACCTAGGCGTTGACTTATCCTTTCTTCTTGTTTGACCGGCTGCTTATTTATTGCCGTTATCATGATCCTGTACACAGCAACCGTCGATGCACCCGTTCCAAGTAAGTCATATCTGCTGTTAAGAATCCGTCGATATCCTCAGCAACAAACTAGCTTCGGCAATTGCCTAAAAAATAAATGGAGACCGTGACAGGACGCACTTAAGAGTCGGAGCAGTTTAAGAAAAGGGGAATGCACAATTGAAAACCATGAAACCATGACAACATAAAAAGGATATCAGCATGTGTAGAATCCAGTCCGACAGAAAAAACATGATCTGCCATTTGCAATCATATTTTCGACAATAATTTCATCCGCAAAAGAAAACAGGAGTTAGAGTACGTCGACGATAGCCGTGCTACAGATGAAGTCATGTTTGTCGAAACAAAAAGAAAATTAAACACAACTTTCTGCAATCATCAATATAACAACAAGGGCACAATGTAATTTTGTACATAGTGACCAAGGATAACTACACCAAGACATTTTCTGGTCTTAAGGGATGTTACGATAACAATTCAGTTATCGAGCCAGTTTTAAGCCTTTGCAAAAACAACAAGCTATTTTCAAGTCAAATGCGATAGCACTGTTGCGATTAGTTGATAGAGGATTGCATTTTCACATCAATGTCAGTTCTCAGAATGTTGTCAACGCGTCTAAATCAATCACCGTCACGGTGGCTCACATCATAAGCCCTAATCGTTTCCATCATCTCCATCGAGAGTTCAACTGTTTATCTGTGTCTAGTGTAATGCTGCCAATCATTACATTTCCCAATGCAAATGGTTCATCAAACTTAAGCTAGCTTATCGCAAGGAATTCAGAAGGATATTTGCATTGTGTTTTAACTGTCTAAAGAAAACGCATGCTGCAGCAGAGTACCCGTCGAGTTGCCAATCAGCCAATAAGAATAGCATATGATTCTTCTCATCAAAATTGAAGAATGTTTTTAAGCCATTTGTAGTAGGCAATGCACATAGATGAAGACATGCCTATTCTCATCGACACAAGTTTTGGCTGGGCAATGTTGGAAGCACCACATGGACACTAGCGCCAGCGCGAGAAAAATGTAACGTTGCATATGAACAACCGTCTCTCGACGTAGATATCTCGCGATTTTGGGAAGTGGAGGAGTACATCAGGTGACGACCAACTCTTCCTTAGGAAGAAAGCATTACAACATTACGAAAATACTTCTTTCACTGAGTTCGGACTTTCGGACAATCGTGCGACCCATCTGCCAAAAAAAGTAACCTCCTCGAACGTACGCTAAATAGGAATCTATAGCGAAATTTATGCGAGAATACTTTGGTAGAGGTTACATGTCATCTATTAAAATAAGCAATAAAGATGAACCGCATAACTTTATTTCTCAACAAAGCCTGACGAGCACGAAAACTACTTAAAGTTTATACGAAGCTGAATATGCTCTATATATACTGATCACTAAGTTGATGACCTTTAAACATGCGCAGACGATCTGGAAACAGTACGAAGGTGTCGACTGCAACGCTCATTTCGGCTGAAAAAGTAATAAAGTCAAAAACTATGCAAATAGGATTTGATCAAAAACTATGCAAATAGGATTTGATCGCTACGTCCAAATAAAAAGATCAAAAAAGGTTCAAAGATCAACCCGAACAAGCTTAGTCATCAAACTGAGACCCAAGCGTACACCAACAGATTTGGAATATTGGCAGATAACGATTGGGATCTACCCCCAGAACTTATAAGCGGGACATAAAGAGCCAATAAATATTTCCCCATCAATATACAACCACAATTCCTTAATGACAATCATATAAACGTCATGCTTCTGTCGGAAAGACATCTTACTGCTGAAAACAACTTACAAACTAGCGGCTTTTTGTTCTACGGAGCAAATCATCAAGACGGAAAAGCACACGGCGGAAACGGTTTCCTGATTAGAAATCACATCAAACACCACTACCATAGTGAGTTTGCAAACAACAACTTGCAGGCGACTTCTATAAAAAACTATAAACGGCAACCCCACCCTTGCAGCAACATCAAAGAGATTATAAAAAAATTATAAAGAATCAACTTAATCCAAAAAAAAATTACAGGACGTTATTTAATATTAAGCTTCCATACTGTGCTGTACTATTTCCCTGTTCCTTAACGCCATCATAAATGTAGGGATGGATGGAAAAAGTCTATTATAGTTATGATACCAAAGGCAAGAAAGGGTCATTCAGTTTCTTCATCGTACAGACCCATAAGCCTATTTTCTTGTCATTCGAAACTATTTGAAAAATCTGTGATTACCCGGATCATCCCCTACTTGAGGACCCCTTATTCCAGCGCATCAGTTCGGATATTGAAAGAAACACAAAACCATTGAACAAGTCAGTCGAATAACATCAGAAATAACTGCTCTCAAAAATAGGAATATTGCTCTAAAATATTTTTGGATGTCTCTCAGGCTTTTGCCAAACAACAGGCTTTTACAGACCAACACATGAAAGTGTATTTCTTTAACAGAGCATTTGCTGTGAGATACAACTCTGATATATGAACGACCACGACATAAACGCTGGAGTTCCCAAAGGCAGCGTACTTGGAGCTACGCTGTATGTCCTTTATGAGCAGACATACCAACAAGCAAAGTACTAACGACTTCATCCATCCAAATTCCATGTACAAGCAAAAACTCAACTCTCTTGTTACTTAGTGGCCGTGCAGAACTAGCTATTTGAGTGGCGAATCAAAACAAACGAACAAAAAGTGTAGCATGTGACACTCATACGCTATCGAAAGACTGCCCATCGATTACCGTAACGACACCATAATCCCGAAAGCAAATAAATGCACCTCGACCGAACATTCACCAAGCATATCGAAGGGAAAAGAACGCATATTCAGCTTAAGGCTATTAGCCTCCATTTGCTTCTTAAGTCTCGATCATCTCTATGTCTATACTACAGGGTCTTACTCTATAATTCCGTATTAAAACCAATTTGCCAGCAGCATTAATATTTATATTATTCAAAGGGCTCAATCGGACATAGTGAGAACAATCACTGGTGCCCTGGTATATCCGTAACGAAAATATCCAAAGAGACCTGAACATCAGATCCGGCAGAGAAAAAATAAATCAACAGAAACATAAGTAAATTAGCAAATTAACTTTACATCCTAACAACCTGGCGAGAGGTCTACCGCGGGTTTTCGACTAAACGATGATCATTAGATCCGTATTTTTCCAGAATACAGTTTCTAAAACTGTTAAATATTGTATTTAATTAAGATTTGAAAAATTGTTGTTAGTCTCATAATTTCTGATAAGATGCTTTAAAAAAGCATGTTATATTAAAAAAAGAATTGGGTTCTTGTAGGATTCTTAATAGTCCATTCGTCGGATCGTCTACATGGTAAACGCCCATTATAGACATGAGTCGACTTCTGTAATCTTTTCATGACAACGTGTTAGGGAATATCCCTAACTGTATAATTGGGTCAAGGGACGGTACAGGCGCCACAGTACAAACACGGATAAAAAGAGGACGTCATCTGAAATACTTTGTAAAAAAAAGTAGAAAAACAGTTCGTTACATGAAAAACTGTATGGCAACTAAGCGAATTGAATTCATTAATAATAAGGTAGAGCTTTACGCTTGCATGCACTAACAATGGTGATAGTAAGACGGAGCTTATTGAAAGAAGAGCGATTTAACGAATACCAATAGAATGATGTCAGATGATTAGTCAGATGAAACTGTAATCTTTGTTGTAATAGTTTGAAATGACTAGCTGCGTCCAATGCACTGCTGCACAATCGCAGCAAGCTACAAAGAAAATTATATGGATAAGTCTTTTTTTCAAATGTAATAATAT